GTGACATTTGGACAGGCAAGGTTTCGAATGTCGAGTTGTGAAACATCGACAAAGTATTATTTTCTTGATATGGTGCTGGTAATGTTTCAGAACATTGATTAATTGTACATAAGACAGTCGTATCATCTTTCTTTCCATTATGATTAATAGATCGACACGATAAGCAATGATTGAGTGTCCAATGAACTTCACGACAATATTGACTACAATATGATAACTTATGGCAATGAGGACAATGTTGAAATTTTATTTCCTTGATAATTTAAATTTAAAAAAAAAGAAGATTTTCTTAGAAAAAATTAATATTTTAAACAACTTACATCATTTTCAATCATTTGACATAAAGAATTTGAACATTTACGATATTGTCGGTTTTCACCATTTTCTTCTTCTTCATCTTGACATTGATCATATAGATTTTGTTTCATATATTCTTCGGATTGTTGTTGATAATTATAATAATGATGTCGTTTTTTCTTTCGTTGATATCGATCAAAAAGAACATTAGCAATTTGATTAAGAGCGTTAGATATGGATGGATCACGTGACAGAAATTCACTTCGAGGTCCATATTTATGTCTCATTGCACTAAGTAATTCTCGAAAATGTTCATTTTCACGATAAAATGTTCCTATTTCTTTTCGACATCGAACAACACTTAAAAATGTTAAAATTGCATAACTTAATGAATGAATAATCGAGTGTTGTTCAGCATAAATAAGATGATTTAATTCAGTTCGTTTTTTATGATGATATTTATGTTCATCATCTAATACAGATTTATGTAATAATGTACAGCAATAATTTACTAAACGAATTTGTGCTTCTAAACATTAAACAATCAATGTTATGTGATACTTTTGTGAAACATGATCTAAAAGGAGTGTTGAAGTGTATCGGATAGAAATTTGTAGTTCCCACAATTCGTGACAGGCGCTAATCAGAGATCATCGCAGACCGTGATGAACGTTGTTGATGTACAATCAAAGACCGTATATGTACTCCTGTATAACTAAGCTAAACGATGATGAAGAAATAGGTTCCAAAATACATAGAACAAAACACTGTCCTTAAGATTAAGAAGAGCAGTTACGTTGTGTTTCACATTTTAATCATGCAGAAATGGTACTAACAGTATTTTTTGTCTCTATTTTTACATACTTTCTGACCACATATCAACATGTTCAGCACATTGTAACATTATATTAAGACATTGAAGTGCAAATGATTCGAATTTAATAAAATATATAACAGAATCAATATATTTATATTCGTTATTATCAAATATATCAATAACAATATCAATAAATTGCATATCTATTAAGTGTTGATATGATCCAATTAAATTCTTATCGACAATTACTTTACATAAACGTAAAAGAACAGATAATGATGGAATTTTTTCTTCAATTAGATGTCCATCACGAATGCCTTGTATTAATTGAATAAGAAATTCAGAATAACGATCAAGAATAATACGGGCAACTTCAGGTATAGTTGCAACATTACTTAATAAATCAAGACATTTTTGTTTAACACATCGAATACGAGGATCCTTAAACAAAACAAAAACAAAAAAGAATTCTTAAATAAAATATAAATGAATATTAAAAAAAAAATGTACTTTGTACATCATAAAAACAACATCAATAGCTCCTGATTTGAGAACGTCATTAACAACAAGTTGAAAAATAGCAAAAAAATCAATAGACCTATTATTATTTGCTAAATACAAAATCATTTGTTCGTAATAAATCAATTATAATACTATCAATTCTTACGGAATTTATTGAATCCAGCTTCACGGAATTGTTTTGGATGTTGACCTAATTGTAGATCTCGAAATGTATAATTCGATTGTTCTGCTCGAGCTAAACCGAAAAGCAATTGTGATAAATTGAAGAGTGCTTCAAGTTGACGCGTTGCTACATAAAAATCATAATTGAAATAGAAAAAAAATACAATTCATTAATAAATCACATACCAATTTCCGTGAGTGGTATAATAGTTGGATTATCTGCTTTCACATTCCAAGGAGATATAGCTTTTGATAATTTGATATGCTAGAAAAAAATGATAAATGATTAAAGAAAATGACAAAAGATAACTATTTACTCGAATTGTAAGTGTATCAAGAAGTAAATCACTGTTAAATGTATTCAAATCAGGATATGAATACCACCCATCAGCAAATTGAATTATATCCATAGATTGAATATCATTTGTTGTTGCCGTTTCATTATTATCATTACTATTAGAAAGTGTAGCATTTTGATCGAGAACTGTAAGAACAGATCGATTGGCAGCTATACATCGCATTCTTCTTCTATATAATATATACAGACTCTAGAATAAGTGTAGAATCTTTTAATTATTTTGATTATTAAACTTAGATAAAAAAAGGAAACGATCATTTAATATTAAGCAATAACAACTATGTTTTATATTTCTCTTCATATCGGACTGATCAGTTGTTTTTTTCTATTCGTCTGACAAGATGACTTCATTCCATAGAAAAGATAGATATCCTTTGCTTTATATTATATATATTCGTTCTTTTTCATTTGATATGTAAATGTTGGCAAAAAAAAAACGTAGAGGGCACTAGAATATATAAAAAATAATCTTCATTATTTTTTCCCGGTAATTACCATTGATAGACCTCATTTCAAATGAAGACAATGGAAACATTGATTATCTTTTACATTTATTCAAACATCCTTTATGTAAACAAAGTAATCCCAGATGCATTCCGATCAATGTAGTATTAAGCAGGCTTAAAGAATTGCCTTCATTTTTTTTGTTATATTTAGCTTTTGTTTCTTTAGTTGCTGTCACCGACAAAAGGAAAGTGATCAATGTGTATTTCCTTTTTTTTTGCTTTCGTGATCATTAATTACTGACACGTAGCTCAACCATAATTCAGCATTGGTGGTTTTGCTGAGCACGAGAACAAATGAATCATACACATAAAAAGAGAAACGTTAGAAAAAAAGTTTCTCAATATTAAAATTTTCATAAGTTGAGTTGAAAAATATCATTTTTATATATTATTGAATGACTATTTGGTGTATACCTATTATTAGTATGTCAATAGTAGCATTCATTTCCTGGGACTCTAACATTATATTTATATAATAGAAAAAAAGAAAAAGAACGAATAATATAGACAGTAGGCAACCATTAATAGCATGCATGGCTCAATGTATTGAAGCACAATCATATACTATTTCAGCTAGGATTAATGTTTTATATAATAGTGACAGAAGAGAAGATGAAGAAGCGACGGCGAGCTCAACAGGAACCAGCCTTGTCACTAGATATTGAAACAAAAAAGAGATTGTATTCTGTCGCATCAAACAAGGACTATATGCTGCTGCTGTTCCCTCTTCTATCCATCTTTTAGATCCATATAGATGTTGTGCCACAAGAGACAGATAGATTTTCTGCTTTGTCTTTCTTTCAATGTCTCTCTACATCTTCATACAACTTTTACTACTTCTCTTCAAATACAATCTTTATCGTTCTCGTATTCTCGCTGTTCTTCCAATGCTAGCGTCACATAATTGCCATCACCAACAGTGCTATAGAGAGAAAGGGAGAGAGAGAGAGAGAGAAACTGCCTGGTTTTATTGTGTTTTCTATTACAGGCACGCACTTTCACACGTATCTCTTGTGGTTGTAATACTTCTACAACCAGCATCACGAACGCATCAAAATGATGATAGAATGATAGTTGCTACTTTATATTATGAATGCGCATGTGTTAGTTGTTCATCACTAGTGTTTCCGTCTTATTTTAAGCGAGTAACACGCTTGGAATAACAGAAAGCATAGAGAAATAGCAAGCAAAATTAACACTTTTTTTCTCGTTCAGCTCTCTTTTTCCTTTTCATAAGACGTTTACTATAGCCGTTTTGTATTGTATATATATATTTATATATTCTTATTAATTATTTGTATGAAGCAACAACCTTCTAGCCATTATTGCTACCTTAATCTTTTTTTCACACTTCTTTTTTTTCTCTTGATAGGCGTAAAAATAGTGAATAAAAACAACAATTATAGAACAATCAAAAGAAAAAAAGCATTAGCACATATTGTTTGTGAGACGAAGAAAAATGAAACAAGACTATTGTGACTTATAATTTTATTGCAGTTGATTCATATGTTCTTATATATATTCATATGTATATTTTGAAACGGTAATGAAAGTGAGCACGCAAACATCATAGACATACGAATGATAGATAAAAAATGATGGATTTCAAATCTTGTTTTTTTTTCCTTTTGTTACCTCTATCGATGAAGAACCTATGGATACTAGTTATACTCTTTTATATTATAGTATACTTGTGCGACATATGTGTTATTCTATATTGAGGCACGTCGTTTCCTGTCATCCAATTTATGAAGATTTAATTTCGAATTCTCTCTCGTGTACTTGCATACATCATTCGGTGAAATATAATGTCCCATAAGAATAGACTCATGGGAAAGAGAGAGAGAGAGAGAGAAAGAGAGAGAAAAAAAAAGAAGATAGTGAAAAAAAGAGAGAAAAGTCAATCAACGATGGAAGCTAAAACTATCTAGCCACATAGCATTTGTTGTTTTCAAAGAAGCGAATAGATAGTGAATGATAAGCAATGAGTGAGGCAAAAAGAAGATGTCATCTTCGTCTTTTATGGCTGTCAAACTACGACGGCAGCATGCACTACTCGACTTAAGAAACATGAGATATACATGCAGTGCATATTCGTTTAATGCTTGGTGAATATTATTCTAAGGATAGGCAAAGATTATTAAAACAGAAGTCGAAATAACTCTCTCTTCTTATGACACGTATTTATCTACATATGTATATACTAATTGGGTGGTTACATTGGAACGTGTGTAATCTTCTTTGCTGGTTGTTTCTGTCTATCGTTTTGTATATCTTACTCATCGTCACTCAACCGAATTTTTATCTTTCTTTTAGACAAATAATATAGAAAGATAGAATGGCAGCCACAGCCTCATCGGCTGGCGCTGCCATTTCATCAATGATAACATTCATGAGAAAACAAAGTTTCCGTAACGATTTTGTTCCATTGATGGACTACAATCAAGAAGATACATCGGGTGCCAATCTCGAATGGATGAATAAACCATTCGTTAAATACGTATTTCGTCTTACTGGTTTATTAAGTTTTATTTCAACATGTATGAATACACCAAAAACATTTGAATATCATCCATTTCTTCGATATGCAACATTTATTATTGATATTATCTGTGCAATTATATTAACAATTGAAGCAGCGGCAAAAATGAAAACAAGAGGCATATTAGTTGGTGATTCAGCTTATTTACGCGATCGATGGAATCATTTTGATGCTGTTATGGTTTTATGTATTTATTTTTCTATTATATTACAGGTATTTATTTTTATTTGATATGTTGTATTTTTGTGTCTTTTGTTTCTATACTAGACTTTGGAACTAATTGGTGTGGTAAGCAAATATACATATTTTACAATTATTCGTTCACCACGTCCTTTTATACTTATTAAAGTACTTAAAACATTTCTCAAATTTGAATTACCTAAAAGCCAGATAAAATCTATTCTTCAGTATGTTAATAGAAAATAAATCGTTGTTGTGGAAATTCTATATCATATTTCGTTCCTTTGTGTAGACGTTCAAGTTCTCAAATATATAATGTTACAATGTTTTTCTTATTCTTTATGAGTTTATATGCTATTTTGGGTGTACAATTTTTTGGATCATTGACATTCCATTGTGTAAGAAATGGTACAGATTTGAAGTAAGAAATAATCTTATTGTTTGACTATAATAAAAATTTTTGTTTTTTAAAGTAATGTTACGAAGTCAGATTTAATGATACCAGATACGTATTGTTCACCAACTAAAGATGGTTTTCATTGTCCAGAAAATTTTATTTGTAAAAAAATCGATATTCCACGTAATTTACGTGGTTATAATGGTTTTGATGAATTAGCAACTAGTTTTTTTTCGGTTTATGAATCTGCTAGTCAAGAAGGTTGGGTATTTCTTATGTATCGCGCTATTGATAGTCTTCCATCATGGCGTGCTTTTTTCTATTTTATTACAATGATTTTTTTTCTTGCATGGCTTGTCAAAGTAAGTTCTGTTCTTTTTTGGAAAATTTCTATATTTAAAATTTAATTTTAGAATGTATTTATTGCCGTTATTATTGAAACATTCGCTGAAATTCGTGTTCAATTTCAACAAATGTGGGGTTCACGTGGAGCACCTTCAAATATAGAACCAACAAAAGTAAATAAGAATTTGTTGTTGTTATTGTGTTTTCTTGGCAATTAACATTAGATATATATATTTAGATACTTCAAAAAGTTGATGATAGTACTTTAAAATTAGTTAATATTGATGAAAATAAAAAGAAAGGTGTTGTACCTGCTATTTGTTTAAAAATTGCTCAATCACCAGTATTTACAACAATTGTTATGATTGTTGTACTTGCTAATACAATCTTTACGGCTACTATTAGACATACACATAATGAAGTTATTGATAAACGAAGTCTAGAACTTTATCATAAAATTGAGGTATATATATATAAATTTATCATAAAAAATAAAAAATTTGAAGAAAACTACTGTTTTCTTTTTCTTAAGAGCTTATTTACTGTATTTTTTGATTTGGAAACACTTTTTAAAATTTTTTCACTTGGCTTTAAAAATTATATTCGAAGATCAACATATAAATTTGAATTTATGCTTGCTGTTGGAACAACACTACATTGTATACCACCATTTTATCGAAGTGCATTTACTTATTTTCAAGTACTTCGTGTTGCTCGTCTACTTAAATCAAGTCCTTTACTTGAAGATTTTCTTAATAAAGTATATTTTACTTTTTGCAATTGATATATTTATTACTTTGATTTATTTAGATTTTTGGTCCGGGTAAAAAACTTGGCAGTTTAATATTATTTACTATGTGTTTATTATTGATAACATCATCAATTAGTATGCAATTATTTTGTTTTATTAAAAATTTAAAACAATTTGAAACATTTCCTCGAGTACGTAATTAATTAAATGTTGTGTTATCGATAATGAAAATATTCTCAGGCATATATGTCTATGTTTCGTATTGCTATGAATGATGGTTGGACAGAAGTAATGTATACAACAATGAATGAAGTTTATGAATTTGGAATTTTCTTTTTATGCCTAACGGCACTTTTCTTTATTTTTTTTCACTTATTAACTAATTCTGTAAGTTTTTCAAGAATGAGAAGATTGAAGCATGAGTATGAATGAAATATTTGATTTCGACATGCATTTGTTTTTTTTCTCCCTCCTTAGAAATCTATTTTTGAGTATTATGATGTTTACACAATGCATACAATATCACTTATTGATTGTATAGGCATTCATATCAATGTTTCAAGTTTTAACACAAAAAGGATGGGTTGATGTTATGCATTACACAATGTTATATAGTATTCAAGATGTAGCACCATTTGTTGCTATTTATTTTATTGTTTATCATCTTGCTATTAATTTGGTATGAATATTTGAATGTTATTGTTATTGTCTGTGTTTTTAGTTTTTGTCACTTATTTTTGTAACATGCATTTGCAGTTGAAAAACGATTTGTTTCTATTGATAGATTGTACTTTCACTTTTCGTGGCTGTTATTTTGGACAATCTTGAACTTGAAGAAGATGTTAAAATGATAAAACAGGTTGGTGAAATGCGTCTTTTTGTTTCCAATAAAAGTCTTTTACTTCTGACGAACTCTAGTTAAAAACACGTGAAGCTAGTGCTGAAACTCAACAAAAATTACCATGGCGTTTGCGTGTATTTGAACGTTTTCCTGATCATCCTCAAATGATTGAATTATCACGTTTACCACACGAATTTATAATACCAAAAATTCGTGATAGTTTTATGCGTCAATTTCTTAATCAAGATGATATTTATACAATTCCACTTGAACATTCAATGAATGTATATAGTAAAAGAAATGCAGTTAGAACATTACATCTAGCTGAACATCGACCAACAGGTGAAAGTATGAAACGTACAGCTGTATCAAATATAATTCGGTTAGTTTTATTTAAAAAAATTATTTATTTGTTTCAATACATGAATAAGAATAATTTAGGAATGTAAATAATCAACGTTTACTAAGTGGTGATGCCAGCCAAATACATTTGGCTAGTATGGGTGATAATAAATTATCAATATATGTTCAACAAAGTAAAATGCGACTTCATCGAAAGTAAAACCAAGTTTTTTTTTGTCATTTTCTTTTATACAATTACAAGTTTTTCTTTTCTTTGTTTTTCTTAGTAGAAGTTCTATGCGTCGTTCTGGTTATCGACCAAAAACAGTTCATACTATACGTGAAAATGGTGATATAACTGCATTACAAGGTCGAATTCAAGATGATTATGATATAAAAGTATTTCAGTATCGAAAACAACAAGCTGAATTAAAACGGTACATTTAAAAAAAGACATAAATTTACAAAAAAAAAAGGTTTTGTTCCTAGAAATCAACAAGAAGAAGATCTTCGTGAAAATCATCCATATTTTGATACACCATTATTTTCAATACCACGTGAAAGTAATTTTCGAAAATTTTGTCAACTTGCTGTTGATGCTCGTTATAATGTTAATACAAAAGATCGTCTTGGACAAGACTCAAAAATTAGTCGATATAAACAAGGACAGTAAGTTGATTGAAAATGAATTCATATTTGATATTTATAATATGGCTATTTATTTTGTTTAGTAAATTTCTTGGTTTAGTAACATATCTTGATTGGATTATGATCATTGTTACAATATTATCAGCAGTTAGTATGTCATTTGAAACACCTGGTTTTCGTGTTATTGATCAACCTTTATTACAAGTACAGTTATGATAATTTTCTTAACGTTTCTATATATTTATAAATTTTTTGTTCTAGATAGCTGAATATGTATTTGTTATTTGTATGAGTGTTGAATTAACATTAAAAATGTTTGCTCATGGCTTACTATTCACACCAAAAGCATTAATACGAGATTTTAGTGGTGTTATTGATGTATCATTTTTTTTTATTAGCCTTATTTTTCTTTGTTGGTTACCAAGACATGTTCCAGCTAATAGTGCTGCTCAATTTTTAATGCTTATACGAGCAACGCGACCACTACGTATTATCATTCTTGTACCGGATATGCGTAAAGTAGTGTATGAAGTTTGTCGAGGATTTAAAGAAATTTTATTAGTAAGAATAAAAGAAAAATGTTCATTTTGTTTATATTAATAAGAATTAATTTTAGGTTTCAATTTTGCTTGTTGTATTAATGTTTATTTTTGCTATATATGGTGTTCAAATAATTGGTGGTCAATTAGCTCGTTGTAACGATCGAACTTATTATAAACAACAAGTATATAAAGGAAAAAAAAAGAGATTTTGACAATATAGATTCAACGTACTTATTATAGGAATTATGTCGTGGAACTTTCTGGAGAGAACTTTATGTGTCAAAAATGAATGTGAGTGGAGCTGATCCAGTTGTGTTAGTACCAAGAGTATGGTAAGTAATTGAGATTTTTTTGGATAAACTTCATTGTTTGTTTTTTTTTTAAATAAACATTGTTTTAGGGCGAATCCACATAATTTTAACTTTGATTACATTGGTAGTGCTATGTTAGCTCTTTTTGAAGTTTTATCACTTGAAGGATGGCTTGAAATTCGTGATATTATTATGGATCGTATGGGACCAGTAAGTATTAATAGTTTTTTTTTGAAATTTTTATATAAACTGAAAAAAATTTTCTATAGGAACATGCTATTTTTGTTCATATTTTTGTATTTATTGGAACTTTAGTTGGTTTAACATTATTTGTTGGTGTTGTTATTGCAAATTATTCAGAAAATAAAGTAAATATTATTATTATTATTATTATTATTATTAAGTCATGTTTTTGTTTTCAAACAATTATTTATAGGGAACAGCATTATTAACTGTTGATCAACGTCGTTGGTTGGATTTAAAAGGTCGTATCAAACTTGCTCAACCATTACGTACACCACCTCGACCAGAAAATAGCAAATTTCGTTCCTATGTATTTGATATAACACAAAATAAATTATTTAAAAAATCATCTGCTGTCTTGGTTTTACTGAATTGTGCATTACTTTATAAACCATGGAAACCTAATGAACAAATAACACAAATATCTGCATTAATATCATCGTTATTTACATTTTTATTTCTTGTTGAAGCTGTTATGAAATGTATTGCACTTGGTTTTGTTGGTTATTGGCAATCACGTCGTAATCGTTTTGATTTATTAGTTACAATACTTGGAATTGCTTGGATTATATTAAATGTTATTTCTATTGGAAAAAGCGATCTTGTAAGAATTGAATATAAAAATAAATGAAAGATTAAAACTAAATATTTTTTTATTTCTTTAGCAAGAATTTAGTAACACGTTTGGATTTACTGTGATTATATTACGATTTTTTACTATTGCTGGAAAACATGTAACTAGAAACATGTGAAAGTTTTTTGTTTTATTATTATTATTTTTTGTTATTGTATTTTTCAGGCTACACTTAAAATGCTCATGTTGACTATTATTGTATCATTCTTTAAATCATTTTTTATTATTCTTGGTATGTTTTTACTTATGTTGGTATATGCATTTGCAGGTGTTCTTCTTTTTGGTTGTGTAAAATTTGGTCCTGAACTTGGACGACATGCCAATTTTAAAACAGTACCTAATGCAATTGTTCTTCTCATGCGAATCGTAACTGGTGAAGATTGGAATAAAATAATGCATGATTGTATGGTTGTACCACCAAGATGTACACGTGGTGGTTCATATTGGGAAAGTGATTGTGGAAATTCCACAGCATCAATACTTTATTTTTGTTCATTTTATATAATAATTACTTACATCGTATTGAATCTTCTTGTTGCTATTATTATGGAAAATTTTTCATTGTTTTATTCTAATGAAGAAGATGCATTACTTAGTTATACAGACATTCGTCATTTTCAAACTGTTTGGAATATGATTGATACAGGAAGAAAAGGTGTTATACCAGCTCGACGTGTAAAATTTTTATTACGATTACTTCGAGTAAATTTATTTTGTATTAAAAATAACCTATTAAGGAAAGATTTTTTTTTCTTTTCTCTCAAAGGGAAGATTAGAAGTTGATGCAGAAAAACTTTATAAACATATGTGTTACGAAATTGAAAAATTAAATAATGGTAGCGATGTAACATTTCATGATGTACTTAAGTAAATATAAATTCATATAATTTTAGTCATTTTTTAGTTTTTATTTATTTTTTAGTATGTTAGCTTATCGTTCAGTTGATATTCGTAAATCTTTACAATTTGAAGAATTACTTGCACGTGAAGAACTTGAATACTTAATTGAAGAAGAAGTAGCTAAATTAACAATTCGTAATTGGCTTAATAAATGTTTAAAACGTATTAAAGCTAAAGATCAAACAAATGTTATTAAAAATTTACAACGTAGTAACGAATTAGCTTTTTTTCGTGAAGCACAAGCAATAACAACCAATGAAGCATTGAGAAAGACAGCAACAGTAGAAAGTTCAGGTGGTGATGATCGACGATTTAAAAATACTGATGATCGACAGCAACAACAACAGCAACAATTACAAAAAGAATTACCAAAGAAAAAACTTGATCGAACAATAACTTTACCAACACCTTCATCTGATGTTAGTTTACGAGATTGATATAATTGTTTTTGTTTTTGAAAGTTATTTAAAATTTTCTTTTTAGAATTCAAATTATCGAGTACAATCAAACACACGTGATATTAGTAGTGAAACAAAAGCATCAAAACGACCAGCTCAACAACAATTACAACAAAATGTTGGTTTGACTTTTAGCAGTGATGAATCTTATCCATGGCGTTCTTGGCAAGGACCTCATCTTACTAATACACGAAAAGATATTGAATCATGGTGGACCAATCAATTACAAATGTCAGCTTAGCAAGATTAATATGTAACTTTAGTAGAATGTTTTTAGTATTGAA